GTCAATGATCTGTTCAGAGCCAGCAGAGTGAGGTGCTGTCAAGATCTGAAGGCCCAAAGTGGCTGTTGTCAGCAACAGTGATGGTGGGGTGCAGGCATGATCATATCACTTCAGTCGTGCCCACTGCTGAGTCCCAGACCAACCCAGGGCAGGCACCATACACCTGGCCGATCGGCCAGTGCCTGGCCCCCTGGGCAAAGGGCAGGGGTGGAGCCCCTCAGTTCCCAACCCAGCTGGCTGCCCACTTTCTCCCTCCTACCCTTCTCTGCACAGACGGTAGACTGTGCTGGCAAATTAGGTTAGGGAGGCGTTTAGGTGAGGGTTACTGGGTTGAGGCTGGCTAGCTCGTTTTACGTCTAATTACATGTTGCTCACTGCAGTTGCTAAACATAAATCACAAGCGTTCGACCACAATTACAGTAATTATGTCCCTATGAGAAGGTCAGCAAAAATGACCTCAGAGGGGAAGCAGTGTGACAGCACTGAGTCAGGAGACCAGGGGTCTGAGTGGGGAAGGCACTGGGCCATGCTTGATCCTCCCTAGGCAGGTAGGGGGCTGGCGGTTTTCATATGGATGACAAAGGGCAAGGTGGAGAGGGTGATCAGCAAAAGTTTCTGGAAGTTTCCAGTTTTTAGGGGAGGCAGCTGATCCTTCAGTGGGCAGATTCAGGTGACAGGTCATTTTGAGTAACAGAATGACCATCAGTACACACTTGAAAACCTCAAGACTGGGCAGAAAATAAAAGTGTTTATAGTGGTTTGATCATGTTAGTGGCTCAAAGAACTTGCACTGTGGGGAGCACGCTGGGGAGCCGGCCCCCACGTGAAGGCCTGAACCCTGCCAAGAGGCAGGTTGGCACCTTCACACCTGAATCAGATCTACAGAGCCAGGCTTATGATGCCCACCTGGTATGAAGCTCTGTGTGATGATATCATGAAGCTGACATCACCCTGAAAATTGAGACACTGCCCACTTTGCAAGAAACTGAGACTCAGAAAAAGACCCCGACCACATAGCCCATGTGAACCGGACCAGGGAGGGGCTGTGTCTGAGCCCATCCACCTACCACCCACAGGACCTGCACCCACTCTGACACTCACAGGCTGGGAGAGGGCATCCAGCCCCTCAGACCCCACCTCCAGCAAGTGTCACGCACACAGTCATAATCGTGGTCAGTCCTGGCCACAATGGAGGCCACTGCTGCTGGCGTGGGTGTGGGGGGCTCTCTTTGCTTGGCCATGGCCTGCCTTCCGAGGCTGGCCCTGGTCAGGGGCCATAGCCCTGGAACCCATCACAGAAACATGCCCAGGAAGCATCTGGTAAACATTTCTTGAGTGAAAGACAGGTGACAAGTGAATGTTGATACTAACCGGAATTTGGGCCACAGACCTGCCCCACCTTACACATACTTCGGTGTGGACCCATAGGGTGGGGTGGGTGGCTATGTGGGCAAGCGACCTGCATCTGCCCTCCCTCATAATATTCACCTCATAGAGCATGCTGAGTTGTGCTGGGGGCTGCTGTCCCCACTGAGCCCATGACTGAGCCCCGTGCCCTGTTCCTCTGGTCATGGAAGGTACTGGGGCAGGATGGTGGGGCCCGGCCTCCTTGGCTGCTCCCTTTGTGAGCAGGTGTGAAGGGGCAGCCTTGCCTCTGTGACACCAGCAGGTCCTGTCTTGCACCCCACCTTCCAACACTCCCTCTGGTGTTTGGAGGACAATGAGTGCAGGAAGTCCCTGACTGTTGCTCTGGATGCCATGATGCCCAGCTCTTTCCCACTGTGGGTGGGAGGCAGGTGCCACTGTGCCCTCTTGCTGGGTTTAACTGGAGAAATGCTCCCTGGGAAGTGACTCCCAGCCATCTGTGGATGAGCACACTCCAAGATGCCCTTACTGCCAGGGAGGACCCACATGCCTAGCGGACAAGAACCTTTCTGGTTCATAATCAATCCCACAGGGGTTTCTTTGTTCCTGACTGGGCCCTAGTGGGTGAAGTGGGTCAGGTCACTGGCAGCCTCAGACAGTCATGACCCACCTCACCCTGTTGTCCCCAGGCCCAAACATAACATGCCCCTAGGAGCCTGACACCACAGGCACCAGGGACCCATTTATGGGGACATTTCATTGCAGGGTCAGGAGGAGTCAGCAGCCCCACTTTGCCAGGCACACAGGTACCCAGGAGGTCCTGAGCATCGCTGAAGCATAACGCTCCCCAGGAGTTGAATGAAGCCCCAGGAACCAGTTCTGCTGCTACGGCCCCACCCCATGGCTGACTGGTGGCTTGTCAGGAGGAGGGAAATCTGGAAATTCCTGCTTCAGAGACCCTCAGGAATCTGGAGGTACCTGTGTCCCCAGGAGGGAGGGCCTGTCACAGAGCCTTAGGTCTGAGTAGCAAGGCCAGGCCCTTCCCAAGATCCTGCTGGACTCGTCCAAGAACACTACCAGGTGAGCAGGATTCCCTCAGCTCTTGTTTTTAATTAGTAGACGTACTATTTTAGGTTTACAGAAAAACTGAGCAAAGAGTTCCGATGTACTTCCCTCCACCCCCCATTATTAACATCTTGCATTAGCCTGTACAGTTGTTATAATCAATTAGCTGATATTGACATATTATTAACAAAAGGCTGTACTGTTCAGTCTTGTACGTTGTATGGATTTTGACAACTGCACATCCTGTATGCACTACTGGATTGTCCTAGTTTTAGGGAAGTGGATCTGGGCACAGGTGGTTTGGCAGTCCTCCAGGTCACAGAGCCCTGAACCTAGGATGGGAAACAGCTCCACACTGCCCCTGAGATGGCCTCTGCCCGTGGTCCCATGGTCGCTACGGGGTTCTGAAACCTTCTGAAACGTCACTCAGGCCAGCAGCACTCAGTCTCGGCATTTGTAACACGAGGGGGCCCTAACACTGCCTCTGACCCTTCCCCGGCATGAAGCCCTGGGTCCTGACAACCCTTTAGGGGCAGCTTCTTGACCACAGGCAGAGCTCTGGGTACGAGGTGCCACAGAGCTGCGTGGACATGGCTGGGGGTAAGAGCTGGTTGCAGTTTCCAGATTCACAACCAGCAGGTTCCTCTCCCCAGGGGCCCGGGTGGTGGTTTCACTTCGCCCACTTGTCATAGCACTTCTGCACCCGGGTACCTGCAGGGAAGGCAGGGGCACACACTCCCAAGGGGGTGGGATGAGGGGTGCACGAGGCTTCCAAACCTGGAATACACACATGTACTCCTCAGCGTCAAAGCTGCCCACGGGTCTTGGGGTGACATCCCTTCTTATGACTGGGCAGGATCCGGGGGCAGGGTTGACTTACCCAGTCCAGGGCTTTTCTAAACAGATCCTTCAACGGTAACCACCTTCAGGGGGTCTGACTGCCCCTAACCAGACGAGAAGGGTACAACATACAAATCAACAGGTGGAAGCGGTCACTCCCCTCCCCACAGGTCACCTGAAATTCCTCCTGAAATGTATCTTGGCTGGAAAAGAAATACTAAAACAAGGTTTTAGTTTCTCCACCACTTGATGCTTTTTGAGGCTCTGGAGCTCAGACCAACACCAGAGAGTTTGAGAAAGCAGAAAAGCTTGCTTTTGTGAGCACGGGGGTGGCTACGTGGAGCACCACAGTCCCTCCCTCTGCCTGGTAGACCCTCTTCATCCTTCCAGGATGGTGACCAGATAGGACGGTAGACCTGGGAGTCCCCCACCCATCCTCTAAGCAGACCCAGCCCTGGGTCCTGGCATCAGGCCCCCAAGCCAGAGGAGGACACCTTTCCCATCAGAGCTGGGGCTGCTCGTCCCCCCACTGGATGTTAGGCACATGGTGGCCCCAGTGACTACCTGGTAAAGGAAGCTGCTGTCATCACACTGTACTCACCAACTCACCATGCTGGGTCCTGCTAGGACAGGGGTCTCAGTGGGAGATTTTGCACACAGGGGGCATTTGGCAGTATCTGGAGACAGTATGGGTTGCCAAACCTGGCTGGGGGTGATGACATCCTAGAGCATGGGGGCCAGGACGCAGCTAAAATCCTACAGTGCACCGGACCGTCCCCAGGAGGAATCAAGCTGAGGTTGGTGAAGCAGGTACTAGACCAACTCCGGAGTGGGGATGGGGAGGACCAGCAGGCAGAGCTCCGCAGTGATGCGCAGGAGCTGTGGCCCAGAGCCTTTCTGTGGAGTGCGTACTCCAGAGTCCACGGTCCGCTCATCAGTGAGTCAGCCACATCACCAGCCGCAGCTGGGCTTCCCCTCCCACGTGGGTCGCAGACCCGGACTGAGTCGGAACCTCTGCAAAGCACACTCAGATCCTGCGTGGGTTTGGATGCCAGGAACATCTGATGGAATCAGGCTGGTCACACAGTAGTGGCACGGCCGGAGCCCCCACTACAGCCCAGTGGCCATTCCCGGCTCAGTCTGAGCGACGGGCTCACAGCACCGCCACTGCGGACGGACCCGCTGGCCAGGCGCTGGCTCGGGTCTGCATATAGTTGGGGTCTCGGGTTTCTTCCCCGTCCTGCATCGTACCGGCCGGGACGTGCTGCTGTCCCGTCCTTCTCCTGCTGGGGAGTCTCTCTCCGACCCCGGTCCCTCGAGCTGCCTCTTCCCGTCTGCGGAGCCGCCCCCCGACCCCCGGCCAGGGCACGCAGGGCGCGGAGCTCCGAGCGCGCACTCAGGGCGGAGTTCCGGCGCGCGGGGCGGGCCCGGGGCGGGGGCGGAGCGGCCGGCCGGGCCCGCCCCCCAGCTGAGCCGGGACCCGGACAGTGGACTCGCCTACTTCAGAAGCTCGGGTGGCGGCGGCGGGGTGCGGAGCTCTTCGCGCAGCTCCCGCGGCTCCAGCGGCTCGGGTGGCCCCGGCTGCGGCCGGGATGGGCGGGCGGCCGCGCCGGGTGCGCGGGGGGCGCACGACGTGACTCGCCTGGACTTGGAGCCCCGCCCGCCTGGCCGCGCCGGGTGGAGGGTCTGCTCGGTGGGCGCGGACGCGGGGTCGGCGGCCAAGCCGGAGCATGCGGGGCGCGGCGCGGGCGGCCAGGGGGCGCGCGGGGAAGCTGTGGCCGCGGCCCCCCGCCCCGGGCCCTGGCCCGCCGCCGCCGCCGCTGCTGCTGCTGCTGCTGGCCGCGCTGCTGGGCGGCGCGGGCGCGCAATACTCGAGCGACCTGTGCAGCTGGAAGGGGAGGTGAGTCCGCGCGGCGCGACCCCGGCCCTTGGGTCTACTGCCCTCCCTTCGCGTGCCCTCCCTTCCCGGGCCCGCCGACCGTGCGGGGGCGCAGCCCCGGGCCGGCCCCGGGAGGGGACTCGGGGGCCCGCTCTCCAGGCTGAGTCCTGTCCCCGTCGCCCCCGCCCCCGGGTCTAGAACAAAAGAGCCCGCGGCGTCCGGGTGCCCTGGCCGGGAGGACGCCCAGGGGGAGGTGCACCCGCCGCGCGGCGCGGTCAGCCCCGACCCGGCAGCCCACTCGTCCCGCGCCGACCTCGCATTGGAGGCGGGCGGGGATCGGTCCTCCGGCCCTTCCTGGCTCTGCCCGCGGCGAGGACTTGTGCGCCCCGGGCGGGAGGAGCCGGGCCTGCGCTCAGGGCCGAGCGGGAAGGGCCGGCGGATCCTCAGGAGGGAGCCTAGGGCTTCGGTGGACAGAGCCGGGCCCTGGCGCGGACCGCGGCGGGGGCCACGCCTGTGCTTGCGGAGACCCGTGGGCGGACACCTGTGCGCGGGCCGAGTGCGGGGCCCGCCGAACACCCCCCACCCCCGTCCCCACCCGGGACCCGATGAAGGTCAGGCCGCCCTTGGCAGCGCGCGCGCTGGGCTCGGCGACCCCCCCCCCCCACGCCCCTCCGCTGTGGCAGCCGAGGACTTTTTTTTTAAACTGAAGTGTGACAAGCAGAAAGGATTGCAAGTCACAAGTGTGCGCGGGCGGGGCGCCTGAGGGCACAGCTACTCGGGGTGAGAAACCGCCATCCGCCAAGGGCGCCCTCGGCCCCGCGGCAGGCAGCTCGCAGTTGGAAAATCGGGTTTTGTGCGGGTGAAGGAGTTTGCAGAGGGAGATGCGCATCTCCTTCTCTGAAACTGTGGGCTGGGGCTGCCCGCGGGTCTCAGTGTCGGGATATTCGATGGAACAGGGTCTCCACCCAAGCCCCTTGGCCTTGACGTCTGATGGGAAGGCTCCCGCGGGCTCACACCTCATGCTGGGGGGTATCACGGGGTTATTTTGAGTGAAGACGGTTTTTCCGAGAAGGTTGGGGGTTGTGCCAGTGTGCTGGGCTCTGCGTCAGCAGGGCAGCCGCTGGTCATCTTGGGTACTTACAGACCCAGTTCTCCGTGGACACTGGCAGTTACCCTGCCCCCCACTTCTTTCCACCCCTCCTAGAGCCAGGGTCCTGGGCTCCAGAGGTTGGGCCCGTGGTGGCCTTCTCCCCTGCTGCACAAACTCTCCCTGTACACACCAGAGCAGGGATGGAGGAGCTGAGGTTGGGGCCATGAGCTTGGAGCTCTGGGGGAGGGTTGGCCTGGAGAATGCTGGCGCCAGCACAGAGCTGGCTGGGAGCCTCTGACTCTGACACACTCTTCTAGGGCTGCCCTTTCCCCCCACGCTGGTAATTAAACTCCCTGTTTTGCAGCTTCTGCTGGATGAATCAGTGCACCCCCAAACTGAGGTCTAGGGTGTCCTCCTCCAGCAGGTCAGAAACAAACCCAGTCCCACACTGGGATCCTGAGTTTCCAGAGGAGCTGACACCCTTTCAGGCTCTCAGAGGACTATATGCCTGGAAGGGGATGCCTCTCCTGGGGTTCGGAGGGGTCTGTGAGTGAGGGCTGGTCAGAAGGCCAACCAGCTCCTGGATCAAGCAGGTGTCTGCATCCTCTTATCTACCTGGAGAAGCAGGGACACTTGCCTGCCGCCCTTCTGTCTCCATCATTGCTAACATACCCCTGGTCTTGGACTCCCTCCAGCTGTCCTGCACTCAGCCCAAAGGCAGAGGGTGGCTGCAGGGGCTGCCACAGTCGGATCTGGAGAGAAGACAGGGCCAGGCCACATTCCTGGGACATAAGCCCCCCTTGCATTATAATTGCTGCCCCAGTTATCAATATGCCTCGCAGATCAGCTGATAGATCCTTGCTGTGGGAACCTGGGTGTGCTGATTTGCCTGATGGCCCCCAGAACATTTATGACTTTTTATGAGCTGTTCTAAAGACAGCGCAGGGTGGTGCGAGTCCCGATACGATGGGTGGATTCTGATCCCCTGATAGGAAGGGAGTTGTTCTTTATGACACTGGCTACTCACATTTGACAGGCTGAAATTCGTTTCTGGGTGTTTTCCAAGCAATGAAGCAGGAGGTTTTACAATCCCCATCCCGTGTGCAGGGGCAGGACAGCACCCTGATCTTTATTAGGCTGTGGTCGTAAAGATGGACCATGAACTTTCCCACTATTATCGGCAGGGTTTTTGGGTCTATCACACCTGGGCTAGTTCTCCTGCTAGGTGGGGAAATGTTATCATAGCCTTTTGGTTTCTCCCTTGATCTGAACCCTCTTCCTGACTTTAGTAAACAAGAGACGATCATTTTCTTCTGGTGCCTCAGGTGAGGCAGGCTGTGAGTGTGAGTGGTGTGGGCCTTGCTCCACCACACTGACCCCTTCAGAAAGTCCCATATCAATTTGGAATTTGCTTTCCTTTCCATGAAGGTGCTCCTTAGGTGTGTCCACCTGGGGAGTGACACCTGCAGACTCCTTTTTTTGGAACAATGCATGAACCCAGTTTAAATAATCCCAAGAGCAATCAGTGTTCTCAACTCCCTAAGGCTGACTAGAACCACGGTTTTTTCTGTACTCTTTGGCTTCATCCCATCAGAAACCAGTTACTTTATTTTTGTCTGGTAAGCATGTTGCTTGCATGCTATGTGAAGATCAGCCACCATATTTTATTTTTGTCTGGTAAGCATGTTGCTCGCATGCTTTGTGAAGATCACAAACGCCACCATCAATGATGTCATAGATGTGGCACATTTTGCACCTGCAGCAATTTTGCATCAACAGAAGTGTATTCAGGTTTGCTGTTATGCTGGAAACTTAGAGGTGAGAGATTTGGCCAGATTTTCTGGTAAGAACTAGACAGACTGTGAGCCCATGACTTCATTAAAGATCTAGTGGGGTCCCAGGCTGAGAGACTGGTGGGTCTGCTGGACTGAGTCGATGTCTTGCGTAGCACATGCTACTGACCTTTATGTGAACACCCGTGTTGAGTGCCTGGTTGGACTCTTGGTGGCCTCAATGCTTTAGGAGAGCATTAGGGGAGAGGCAGAGCAGAGCTGCATGCTGGCTGTGGACCCTGGGGTGGGTGTAGACCCTTCTCTGGGGGCCAGTGAAGATGTTAGGTAAAGGATGAAGTAACGGGGCGCCTTATTTCTTCTATGTCTACCTTCACGTTGCTCCTGGCCCTCTTTTAGTAGAGTGACTTATGAATAAATGGAGCCAGGTGTACTGTACAAGATGTCTGGGTGATAGGTGCAGGCTGGGGACAGTAGTCCAGCCCCCAGACTCAGGTCCACCTCTCCCTGGGGAGCCATGGGTTGGCCACCTGTCCCCACAAGTGTTCCCTCTGTCCCTGCCCAAGATGTGGGTGGGGGGTGGACGCCCCCATTGGATTGGATTAGGTGACAGTGAGAGGGACCCAAAGCTCTGGTATGGGCTTTCCTTTCCCTTGAGCCCCAGGGCCCCCTCCCCACACAGAGAGGGAAGTGAAGACTTGGACAGGATAGTTTTTATGGGAGAGAGCTTTGAGGATGGGTGTCTGGCCATGGGGCAAGTGTCCAGCTGCCCCTTGAGGCTGGAGACAGGGGAGGAGGGACACTGTGATAAAGTTTGTTTTGGCTGCATCAGAGCACAGCTGATCATAGTCATCTGTGTCAACCACTCACCATTTAGTCTAATTTTTTCACACAGCACTGTAATTATGCTCGTCCACACATATGTGTCAGATGAGCTTATATGAGTTTTATTTGACTGTAATTTGTAAGTCTGTTCTGCGTGTGCGGCCCTGGTAGGCGTCTGAGGCTGAGCTGGCTGCTAGTGACCCAGGGCCTGCTGGGGGCGGGGAGCAGGGTTAGGAGGGGGGGTCACCTCCTTGACACCTCCCTCTGATGTGGTCTGCAGGATGACTGTGCAGCCCCAGCCTGCAGCTGGCCGTCATATGAAAAGTGAGGTTTTTTGGAGCCCAGAGCATGAGTCACTAACAGTAAATGCAAACCATATGTTACGTGTTTTCTCCTCTCTAGAAAGGGTTTCTGGTAACTCACTCAGGCCAGAGCACTGAATATAGCATTGTTTATTACACATAAAAATGCTAAGAATGTGGGTGAACCTGTCTGAGATCTGATCAGAACCAAATTTCGTGTAATAAAACACTTGGTTGAAGTCACTGGTTGAGTTCCAAGGCTGCTTGGTGGCTGTGACGTAACCATTAGCACAAGCTGACATTCACATTAAAATTTGGGGTAGGGGAAACTTTAACATTTTTGATGGTTTCAATTTCTTGAAAACATAACGTAATGACCATACTCCAGACCTGTTTCACCAAGAGTGTAGCACACTTCATTTTTTCCTGTTTAATGTTTATCAGGAGTGAGATTAACTTGGCACTCTGCAACTTCTCCTTGGGGAGATGAACCGTCTACTTGCCGTTTGTTGTCTCGCTCTCTATGGCTTCTCCACGCATCCCCCATCGCGTCTCTCCCTGTGGAGGACCTTTACCTTACTTTTATATCTTGCTTTGATGATATTTGAGTTTATTTTTAAAAATACAATTGGCAATGCAGGGTCTTCAGGGTTTCTTTTTAAATTTTATTTATTTGAGGGCGCCTGAGTGGCTCAATCAGTTAAGTGTCTGCCTTTGGCTCAGGTCATGATCCCGGGGTCCTGGGCTCGAGCCCCATGTCGGGCTCCCTGCTCTGCATCGGGCTCTCTGCTCTGCATCGGGCTCCCTGCTCAGCGGGGAGTCTGCTTTTCCCGCTCCCCCTGCGGCTCCCCCTGCTTGTGCTCTCTCCCACTCTCTCACTCACTCTCTCTCTCTCTCTCTCTCTGTCTCTCTCAAATAAATAAATAAAATCTTAGAGCAGGGGAATGGGCGGCAGCTCCATCCCAGGACCCCAAGATCATGACCTGAGCTGAGGGCAGACTCAACAACCCATGGAGCCACCCAGGCGCCCCAAGGTTTGCAAATGAAAAGGCCATCAAGTCATCACTTTAAGGAAAACACAAACATGCCTATCTGGAAGGTGCTAAAGACAAAACTCACCCACAATCTCCAACCCCCCCAAATTGCTTACATTCCTAATTGGTTTAAAAGCTACTCTCTGGACCAAGTGAATCTGCTCCTTGTTTTCACACTCAGAGGGAATCTGCCATCATCCCCGGCCCTCAGTAGGTCACCTGGAACTTGGGTTGGTGGTAGGGTCCTGTGGGTGTGTCCTTGATCATGTTCCAGAAGATCTACCCTTCTGTGGTCCTTGCATCCACGGAACCCATTGCCTCCATGATGCAGGGACCCTCAAGAACACGGGCTCCCAGTGCCCCTTGAAGGGCAGCAGATGCACGTGTTGAGGTGTTGAGAGGGTCTGAGACACACTTTGCCTACACACATCGCGGCCTGTCTCACCGTGACCCTCTGGGGCAGGCCTGCTGGAGGGGACCGGGTGCGGGGCCATGTGGCTGCCCCTCCCTGGAAATGGCCCATGCGGCAGGGCAGAGGCAGCGGCAGCCCGCATGTGGGGGAGGGGCTGCTTGGGCACCTAGGCCGGCAAAGGCCAGCACGTGAGTAGGGGGCACATGTGGGGTGACGGGCCCTGGCTGATGCATGCCCCCTCTGCAGCGGGCTGACGCACGAGGCCCACAGGAAGGAGGTGGAGCAGGTGTATCTGCGCTGCTCTGCGGGCTCCGTGGAGTGGATGTACCCGACCGGGGCTCTCATCGTCAACGTTCGGCCCAACACCTTCCCGCCCTCTCGACACCTGACTCTGTGCATCAAGCCCCTCAGGGACTCCTCAGGGGCCAATATTTATTTGGAAAGAACTGGAGAACTGAAGCTGCTGGTACGGGACGGGGACCGTGGGCCCGGCCAGGTGCGCTGCTTTGGCTTCGAGCACGGTGGCCTTTTCGTGGAGGCTGCGCCCCAGCAGGACATCAGCAGGAGGACCACGGGCTTCCAGTACGAGCTGACCAGCCGGCACGCGGGGTCGGACCTCCATGCTCTGTCAGGTGGGTGGCGTGCCCTGGCGGTGGGAAGGGCAGCAGGGGTGGGGGCTCCTGGGTAGCCTCATGGGCGCCTACAGGCATGGTGGTACCAGCAGACGGCCCCCTGGGTGTGGCAGGTATTGGACGTGTGGTGTCCCATTAGTGCTCAGGAACTGTGTCTGAGCAAAGGGAACAAGTGTGCCCTGAGAATGGTCACAGGTCGGATGGACCACGGTCCTAGCTCCCTGACGAGCTCGTGTTCTGTGTGCCGCCGTTGGGGCTGCAACTGGAGATGTGTGCCCCTGGCATTTCTCCTGACATATGGATTAGCGGAGTGTTTTTGACATCAAGCCTCTGACATGGCGAGTTTTGGGTGGGAGCCAAGACTGATTCACACTCCAGAGTAGTGCAGAGTCTTGGTGACCTGAGTAGTGGCGCTGGTCCCCGGTTCTGGAGGCATTTTGTGGGTGGGTGTTCTAAGGAGAACCCCATGTGGAGTGGAGATACCAGCCAGGAGAGGCTGTGGGTAGAGGAACCAGCAGGGGGCAGGAACTCACCTGGGGGTCCCGTGAAGCTGGCCCTCGAGGAACCCCCTCCACGGCAGGGCCCTCCTAGGGCAGAGTTCTGGAGGGAGGCTCCCAGCAGCCAAGGGTGTGTGTGTGTGCACGGGGAGATTGTGAGTTGGCTTTAGATTGCCCTTCATTTTTTCTTTTGAGGCAAGCAGACAGCTTTGCAGGGCCCTGTGTGGAAGGGAGTGTCGGTCTCCGAAAAGTTGCAGGGGCAGAGACCAAGGAGAAATGAGTGGCCTCCAGAGTTCTCATGTGGCCTGGGTCTTGCCCTTTCTGCCCTGCCCAACCCCCCACCTCCCAACTGCCTGACTGTCCAGGTGCAGAAGTCCTTATCTTTTACTGTTAAGGGACACTGGAACTTTCCTATGCAAAAGAAAATGTGTTCAGAAGGAATACAGAATCCCTTTAAACTCCCTTCTGTCCAGAAATAGAGCTTGACAAATCCCTGTCTTTTAGAGGCACCCAGGCCAAGCGTCTCGCCCTTGCTCCAAGGCATAGATGATCTCCCGGGATCCAAGTGTGTAGGGACACCATTCGAATCAATTCCAAAGCTGGTTGGTAGCAAGATGCCTTCCAGCAGGGGGGAGGTGTGAGCAGGTTCCAAGAAGGCCATTTCCCAGGACAGCAGCTAGCCCAGATGATGGTCAGGTGGGGGTGCCATGGCATTGGGTGGTGCCGGCCAGGCAGGGATGCTGCTAATACCCCACAGTGCACAGGGCAGTTCCAACAAGTGTCAGCTAAGGCAGAAACGCCTGGTTTGAGGGGTAGGCCATCCCCAAGAATAGTATAATCTCCACATTTTAGTAAATAAAAGATTTGATTGGGGAAAAACAGATCTGCTAGGTTTTGAAATGCAGACTTTCCTCCAGGTAGGACTCCCCTCCCCCTCCAAGTGCCTGACTGCCCAGGTAGGACTCCCCTCCCCCTCCAAGTGCCTGACTGCCCATGTAGGACCCCCCCAAGTGCCTGAATGCCAGGTAGGATCCCCCCCAACTCCAAGTGCCTGACTGCCCAGGTAGGACCCCCCAAGTGCCTGAATGCCCAGGTAGGATCCCCCCCAACTCCCAAGTGCCGGACTGCCCAGGTAGGACCCCCACCCCAAGTGCCTGAATGCCCAGGTAGGATCCCTCCCCCACTCCAATGGCCTGACTGCCCAGGTAGGACCCCCCTCCCCCTCCAAGTGCCTGACGGCCCAGGTAGGATTCCCCTCCCCCTCCAAGAGCCTGACTGCACAGGTAGGACACTCCCCCGCCATTCCAACTGCCTGACTGCCCAGGTAAGACCAACCCCGCTGCCCCTCCAAGTGCCTGACTGCCCAAGTAGGACCCTTCCCCACTCCAAGTGCCTGACTGCCCAAGTAGGACCCTTCCCTACTCCAAGTGCCTGACTGCCCAGATAGGACCCCCCCAAGTGCCTGAATGCCCAGGTAGGACCCCCCCAACTCCAAGTGCCTGACTGTCCAGGTAGGATCCTCCCCCAACTCCAAGTGCCTGACTGCCCAGGTAGGACCCCCCTCCCCCTCCAAGTGCCTGACTGCCCAGATAGGACCCCGCTGCCCCTCCAGGTGCCTGACTGCCCAGGTAGGACCCCGCTGCCCCTCCAAGTGCCTGACTGCCCAGGTAGGATCCCTCCCCCACTCCAATGGCCTGACTGCCCATGTAGGACCCCCCTCTCCCTCCAAGTGCCTGACTGCCCATGTAGGTAGGACCCCCCTCCCCGTCCAAGTGCCTGACTGCCCATGTAGGAATCCCTCCCCTTCCAAGTACCTGACTGCCCATGTAGGACCCCGCTTCTACTCCAAGTGCCTGACTGCCCAGGTAGGACCCCGCTGCTCCTCCAAGTGCCTGACTGCCCATGTAGGACTCCCCTCCCCCTTCAAGTGCCTGACTGCCCAGGTAGGACCCTGCTGCTCCTCCAAGTGCCTGACTGCCCAGGTAGGACCCCGCTGCTCCTCCAAGTGCCTGACTGCCCAAGGACTCCCCTCCCCCTTCAAGTGCCTGACTGCCCAGGTAGGACCCTGCTGCTCCTCCAAGTGCCTGACTGCCCATGTAGGACTCCCCTCCCCCTCCAAGTGCCTGACTGCCCAGGTAGGACCCCGCTGCCCCTCCAAGTGCCTAACTGCCCAGATAGGTCCCCCCTCCCCCTCCAAGTGCCTGACTGCCCAGGTAGGTCCCCCCTCCCCCTCCAAGTGCCTGACTGTCCATCTAGGACCCCGCTGCCCCCCAAGTGCCTGACTGCATAGGTAGGTCCCTGCTGCTTCCCCCTCCCTGGTGCCAGAGGCTCGGCTAGGGCTCCTGCTCAGGAAGGGGATGGTGAAAGCTGCTGTGAATCTCAGGACCTGACTGAAATTTTAACCACACCAGGCTTTATCTTGATCACCAGCTATAGGGTGGGTGGGAGAACTGGGGGAGGGGACCCCAGCCTCACTCCGGGGGACCTAGGAATAAATTCACAATAAAAACAAAATGGGAAAAAACCCAATTCCTGAATTCGGTGTTTCTGACTAGTGATAGCTGGCTGAGGGGAGGAGATGTTAGGAACTTGTTAACACCCTGAGGGAGACAAGGGGCAGCTATTGCGTCCCTCCTCCCCAGGGTGCTTGCTTTTCATCAGGGGATGGGCCCCTAAGCCCTTAATGCCAAAGGAATGGGTACGTAATGTGGAATGTCAGCACCAGCCATCTGGCAGCAGTGACGTCCGCCAGGCCAGGCGGGCTCTCTGGTGGTAGCGCGTGGCTCCCGGCTCCCTCCTGTTCTGACCCTGACCCAAGCTGCAGGAGACCTCAGTGAGGCCGGAGCCCTGGCACCTGTGGTGTGCAGGTGCGCACATGCCCTTGGGCCAGGCAGCCAGTGATCCTGCCTGCTGGGGAGCTAGACGGGCCTTCTCCCTCCCTGATGAGTCACAGGTTCTAGTTTGTGCTGACTTGAGAATCAAGAGAGGCTCCCGCCCGGATGAGTGATGTGTGTGGGAGCCTCACGGCCCTGGATGTTTCCGCTTGGGAGTGTTTGTGCTGAGTGTGGTCACCTAGTGTGCACTTGAGCTGAATGATCAGCTTCCTGGTATGAACCGAGAAGCTCTGATATAGAGGCGACCGCTCCTCCGGGCACAGAACGGGATGGATGCTGGGGGGTGACCCCGGCCTGCGGGCTGGGGGACTCAGGGTCTAGCCAGCACACAGCAGGTGGCTTCCCCCCACCCTGCCTCATGCCCTTCTCCTTCTCTGTGGGCCTCACCAGGGCACCTGAGTAATGTGGTTCTCCACTGGTGCTGAAAAAATCTGGCAGGACACAAAAGGTGGGCGAGTGGCCAGATCCAGGCAACTAATGGATGAAGCTCTGGGGCCACGCCTGGAACATGTGCTGAGGTCTCACAGTCGGACCCAGCCGGGCAGTCTGGGGGCCATCCTCCCCAGCGTCCCAGCATACTTGGGAAAGCGGACACCACCAGGAGCCCCCATTGTCCAGTGGGGTTGGCCGTGTGTGGCACTGGCCAGTGAAGGATGGCTGGGGGTTGCTCTGTCTGGTTCTGGGGGGCAGAGACAGGCCTTCTCCTTGGTTTGCCTGGGGTAGCCCTGGTGGGCTTCTGATTCCAGTCTGTTCTTTTACTTCTCGGGGAGCTGAATAGCAGGAGCTCACCGGCTTGGCTGCACCCACTGTCTGGGGTTTGAGCTCCCTGCGATGCCTACCCAGAGCAGGCTTCTTGGAGCAGATGAGTTGGGAAGACATTGGCATTCTAGACCCATAGCTAGAGGGGCGGGTGCTGGCTGTGAACGCATAAAAGTTACTCTCATCGCTGGTGGGGAGCCTTGTGATGGTGAGGGCAGTCTGGGTCCCACAGTTTCCGACAGGCTTCATTGCTCCTCCCCTGTTAAAACCTGCTCTGTCTGATGGGCTAGGGGGTGAGTGATGCCCACGGGGTGGGCCGGGTGGGTACAGAGCCCTCCACTGGGGAGCCTTTCCAGCTCAGCGTTTGGGGGTGGCTCTGATGGGCTGGAATGGGCTGTGGGGAATGAGTAGCAAAGTTCAGAAAAAGTGAAAGAAACCTCATTATGTCCTAGAGACAGAAAAGGAGAGAGAACTGAATTTTTTTCTATGGATCACTTTGTTTCCTGCCTGGCTTCTCTGGCCACGGTAATTACAGGATAATTATTTCTCATCTTGCCCATCTCTGGCCTTTTGGGCTAGAGGGTGTGGCCTCCACCTGCGTCCTCACCAGGGAGAGGGAGGGAGGGGAGGCCGGTGAGATTGAGAGCACCCAGTGCACAAAAGGTGGGACTTGGGGCAACCGACCAACCTGGGCCGGGGCCCCATGGGGCCACCTCGGGGCGACACCAGCCTGCCGCTGGCTGTGGTGACAGGCCGAGGAGGCTCCAGAACCACCCCGTTCCGGCTGTGACCCCTTTCACGTGTCACCGGCTGCCGTGAAGGCCCTGGTGGGGGTCCTCATGCACGGTTTTCCCTTGGGAATTGCGTGTGTCCAGCTGGTCACCCTCACTCAGGCAGTCCCGCAGAACAGTATGCGGCCGTCTGTGGACCTCTCCCTGCCGAGGGCCTGACACGAAGGGTGCTGCCCTCCCCCCACCTTCCTCCCCGCCTGCACCTGACTCCTCACCTGGGTCCCTGCAGCAGCTCCCTCTGGTCTCCCTGAGCCTGTGCTTTCCTTCTTCGGTTCGTTGTATGCGCATTCTGGGGTAATCTTCCTACAAGGTGTCCGTACCTCAGCCACCCCCTCTCCAAGAACCATAATCCCAACTGGCTATTGGCTGTCCCCTCCTCATCTTCCCCTGCAAGGAAACGAGATTCAATGTGTCCGAAACTAGCGCATTCCAGAGCCCTTATGAGCCCAACTCCGATTAGTAATTGTTTCCAGATTGCTTCTCGTGGTGTCCACAGACTGGATTTTCCAAGAAGGTGACCTATGCTTTGTAAAACTCAGAATTATGAGGGGAGTCTCCAGGGTGGCACTTTTTTAGCTCAGCTGTGGTGGTGATTGGCTCACTGAGGCTTCTGGCCGGAGGTTCTGCAGGCTGCTGCCCGCCCTCCCCTCGGGTCTTCAGCACCCCCACACCTGCGGTGCCATGGGGTGTGAGCAGGGTGGGTGCACAGGACGGGCTCCTTGCCACCTTTCTCCTTAGCCATCAGCCGAGGTCCCAGCACCTATGTCCATGGACAGGGCAAAGCTCTTGGACTTGGCGAACTGTGCACCGCCGGCCGGGGATCTGAACACAGGGTGTGGCCTGGGCCTCTCACTGCCCCTCTGCCGCCTTTGTGGCCTGTCTCAGCCGGCTCAGAAGCTGAGATGTGCTTCTGGAGAGCTTTTGGGGTGGAAGCTTGTGTGGACCCGTGCCTCCTGCCCACCCTCACTTGGAGCACTGCATGGCCTGGCCCCCAGGGACCCTGCTGTGGCTCTTCCCTCCTGGGGAAGTGCTCCAGGAGGGGTACCTGCAGGCGGGCTGTGGCCACCACGGGACTGACTGCTGACCCGCTTTCTCCCACTGGCAGGGGCGCCCAGGGTGGGGCCTCCGACCCCTTGGGCGCTAGGGAGCGCTGGCTAGCATGGGAGGTCTCGCCTCTGCCACATGCTCCTTGCCGTAGGGGCTAAAGTGAAATGCTGCCTCGAAGTGGAACTGGAGACCCCTGCCCTCTGCAGTGCTGCATGCCCCTGCCTCGTCACTCCCGACTTGTGTGGCCTGTCAGGCCCAGTGGGGGCAGGAGGTCCCCGATGGGTGAGCAGGGGAGGGAACCCCCAGTGGGCCACCCTTTTTTTGAAGAAAGGCCTCGGGGCTGGGGGACTACACATGGAACCTAAGTGCCACAGGTGGGCAGCAGTCTTTTGGAGCTGGGTGGGTGCCCAGTCCTCCTGGATGGGCCGGACGGGACGCATCCAACAGCCTGTGCTTGTCCTGCAGCTTCTCCTGGTTCCCGATAACCTGACAGAAGCAGCAGGTGGTGGGAGGGCCAGTGAGTCAGGACCTCCTGAGCTGGCCTGGGGCGCAATCATCCACCCCTGCCCAGAGCAGGACGATGGAAACAGTGCTCGGAAACCCATGTCCACCCCCCGGGTCCACAGAGACCCTGTGCTGCCCCGGGTGGCACAGACCCTGTTGGCTTTGTGCCCTGGGCTCCAGAAGGCCTCTCCGAGCTCCTACTCCTTGGTGCCTGGCCTTGCCCCGACTGCTTGCCCAGTTCAGGTTTTGTGAGGGTGACTGGTCAGTGTGTGGACAGGGTTAGCTTTGTCCAGGCCCAGCAAGTGCCAAAGCCATGGATGTTCTGGGGCCTTGAGAAAGTGAAAGGTCTTGTTCCAGCAAGACCTCATACCTAACCTTTCCCAGAGCTGGGAGAATTTGTGCCAAACCCTAGGAACTCCGCATCCGAGAGTCAGAGGACTTGAAAGGTGCAGTGAGGGCCAAATGTTGCATTCTCCCAAATCCAGTGCTGGGTCAGGAGTGGTGCTGTGGTCTAGGGGGAGAGTTGCCAGGGCCAGAGGCTCTGCCCCCCCACAGTCTTTCTGGAACTTCACCCCATCTGAGGAAGTGAGGGTGAAGTGCGGGGTGAGGGCTGGCTGGGGCAGAAGTTCATGGGGTGAGGCCTGGCTTGGCTGGAGGAAGCCAGCTGCACCCGGGCTGTGGGGGGTTGGGGCTCCTGTGAATTAGGCTTGCCATGGATGGTGTTTGCAGGCAGTGACATGGTCTGAGGGCCAGGCGGGGTCTGGGGGAGGGGCTGTGCTGAGGCCCGTGGCTCCTTGGTATTAAGGGTCCCACAGCTTCTGCAGGCAGGTGCGTCCCTCCATGCTCATAGGCACCTTCACCAGCCTTGGTGGTCCTTCTAGGCAGTGCCCTGACCCTGGACAGCACACGGGGGCAGCACAACGGGGGCCTGGGGAGCAGGAGATGTGTGAGTGGGCGGTCACAACATTTTGGGGAGCAGGTGTGGAGGCTGGAATGAAGGTGACTCTCAGCTGGGCTGGTGTAGGGGATGCACTTCAGACCAGCTCAGGTTGGTTTCCCATGGGTGACGGGCATGGGAGAGCCATTTACATGCAGGCCCGGTGCTTGCTGCACTGACAGGCTAAGTGGGGACAAGCACCAAGGCCAGCTCTCTCCCTCAGGATACACGCCCTTCACAGCCACATCTGGAGTTTGGGGTATCCCCTGGACCGGCCAGCCCCTCACCCACGTGGCCGAGGTTGGGTTCTCTGCTCCCCAAGGTCAGAGCTCTTACAGGACCTAGCGAGCATGGACAGGGGCCTTGGTCCTGCAGACCCTACTCCTAACCCTGTTCTGTCCCCACAGCCCCATGCTGCCCTTGCAGTGACGCGGAAGTGCTGTTGGCGGTCTGCACCAGTGACTTTGGTAAGTGCCCTCATGCTCCCACCACGTGTTGGGAGCCCCACTTGGGCCTGGGACGACCTTCCCGTGCTGGCACTAAGCTTGGGGAGGAGACTGCTGAGGACAGTGCCACCGATCGTAGTAACAGAAAAATGCTTTTCTTTCTGTGCAGTAGAGTGATGCCTGTCTACCCCAGGGGAGGGACCTGCCTGTAAGGCAGGGAGAGGGTCAGGAATCCTACTTAAGGTGGTCACTGAGCATTTGCCTCCAAACAGGGATGCTAGCCTCACCTTAGAGCCCTGTTCTCTGGGTCCCCTGTGGGTATGATAGCAGGAGTTCCTGGCCCTGGGGGTCCAGGGCGTCCGGGGGGCCTGGGGCTGAGGTCAGGGATTCAGCTGCCTGCTTGTGAAATTGGCACAAACACTCTCAGGCGGGGGATGGAAGCAGTCTCCTGGATGCTGGATGCTGGTGCTGGACAAGAAGCCAGCCCAACTGGAGCCGGCTCTGAGCGCCCCCAGCTCCTGCAGAACGAGGCTTGGGGGCTGGGCAGGGTCCTGGGTGTGGGCCTGCTCTGTCAGCTCCTTCCCATCACCTCCTCCCCTCGGAGCTCCACCGTGTCTGTCCTATCTTGATACAGAGCTGCCGCAGATCTTGTGGATTAACCGTGGTTACTTGTCTTGTTCTAACTTGAAAACCTGATGCACGATGTGGTTTCTGTCTTCTGTTTTTCCCCGCTTATGTGGCTGTAGAAAAATATCTTTATCCCTGACAAAGAGACAACCCCTAGAGGGCCTCATGCGCATGAATTGTTCTTTTTAATGGGATTTCTGGAATGCAGAATTCAGGGTCAGCCCTGGCACAGGTGCCCCGGTGACCCCACTGACCCCCATCTCCTTGCCTCCGTAGTCGTCCGAGGCTCCATCCAGAACGTCACCCACGCACCAGAGCAACAGGAGTCCACCATCCACCTGCACGTGAGCCGGCTCTACCGGCAGAAGAGCAGGGTCTTCCGGCCCGCCCCAGAGGGCGGTGGCTGGCGGGGGCGAGTTGCCACGCTGCTGGAGTGTGGTGTGAGGCCTGGGCGTGGTGAGTTTCTCTTCACCGGCCACATGCACTTTGGGGAGGCCCGCCTCGGCTGTGCCCCGCGCTTCAAGGACTTCCAAAGGATGTACAGGGATGCCGAGGAGAGGGGCCTGAACCCCTGCGAGATGGGTACGGAGTGACTGTGGGCGAGTCCACCGCTGCCACAGTGGGTGTTCGGATCGGGGGCTCCCTGGTGCTCAAGCCATGGAGGCACACGCCACGAGGTCCTGGCCAAGGACTCCTGACTGATGGGAAATGTTGTAAAATGCAAACTAAGTTATTATATTTTTTTTTTAAAGAAAAGTCCATAGGAAGCCAACTCCAGTGTCTTAAAATGCCTTGTGTGCCATTTCATACTGTTTTTCAAAAGCACCTAACGTCCTTGCGCTCGGCTGGTGTGTTGGGTGACATGCTGGGGCCGTAGCCCACAGAGGACGCCCAGCACCAGGCTTTGTACGAAGCTTGGGTACCATTCAGAGTTGTTTCTTAGGATGGGAACTTATGGAGCCAAATACTTATTTTTTGTTTTGTTTTTGCTTTTCAAAGAATGTGCTTTGCTGGCCGTAGTCATTTTTGGGCTGCAGGCTGTTTCTATTCCAGAGAATAAAGGCCATCGTCTGATGGAACAGTGGTGCTTCTGTCTGCAGCCCCGGGTGGGTATGCACGGCACTTCGCTGGTGTCAGGGTTCTCTGGGGGTGAGCACACCTGAGGGAGCCCCACGGCCCTGTTTCTCTGGGCCTTTCATTCCGGGCCCAACTATAAGTGTGGCTGTTACTGTCGTGCTTCAGAAAACACTGCTTGGCCTTAGCCAGACTGCACCTCCTCCTTCCACCTCTGTCCCCTTTAGCATCTGCTCTCCCCTTCCTGTTAACCCAGATCCTGCCCTTTGACTCCAGCTTCCCCCAAATGCCCCAGCCCACGGCAAGTCTGGACAGTGGGGGGCTGGTCTGCACTGGGCTGGTGACCTCCACACCCTCACGGGTGAGCAAGTACCCAGCAGCTACTGTAACGAACGACCACAGACTGGGGGCTTAACCAACATACATTCTCGTCATTCTGGAGGCCAGAGTACAAAATCAAGGTGTGGGCAGGCCCAGGCTCCCTCTGAAGGCTCTAGGGGAGGAGGTTTTCCATCTCTTCCAGCTTCTGATGGCTGCTGACAGTCCTTGGCCTGTAGAAGCATTATTCTAGGCTCTGCCTCCTTCTCCCTCTGTGTGTCTGTATTCAAATCCCTCCTTGTATACGGACACCAGTTACAGGATTAGGGCCAGTACAACCTCATTGTAATTGATTTCCACCTGCAAAGACCCTATTTCCAAATAAGTTCACAGTCACAGGTTCTAAGTAGATGGAAATTTGGGAGGACACTATTCACCCCACTCTAGGGGTCACTGAGGTGTCAAGTAATCAGACCAAAGCCTGCATCCACATCTGAATCAGGTGATTTCTCCCAAGCAGCTGCTGAGACTGAAGGGGGCTCTGGGAGAGGACACTGGTCAGTGAGCACTGTACTAGCTGCACCCAAGACTCAGGCACACTGTGTGGCCACAGGTAGGTGCCGTGTGCTAGCTCAGGTGTGCTCTGGCTCAGATAGGTGTGGCCTGGCTCAGGTGTGCTCTGCATCAGGTTGATGTGGCCTGGTTCATGAGTGCCCTGCATCAGGTGTACTGTGCTTCAGGTAGGTGTGGCCTGGCTCATGAGTGACCTGTGTTAGATAGGTGTGCCCTGCATCAGGTGTACCATGCTTCGGGTAGATGTGGCCTGGCTCAGGCATGCCCGAGCTCAGGCACGTGCTGGCTCAGGTCTGTGGGCTCCTGCAGGTCAGAACAAGAAGCAGGTGCTCCACACCTGCACAGCAAGAAGCAGGGTGATCGCCTGAAGCAGCAGGGTTGGTGATGGGAACAGGTCCTACCGTGGCTAGTAATTGCGATGTTTATGCCAGGAGCAGATGTGCCAGGACCACAGCTACCCTGCTGCTGGGTTCACGCTTTGGGGTTTTCTGGGTGTTGACTCTGACACTGGAGGAGGCTGCAGGGCATGCAGATGCTGCAGAACCAGAATGTCAGGTTTGGGTTTCGGTTTCAGGGCTGGCATTCTTCCTTCTGTCAGTACAGGGACCCTGGGAGGAGCTGGGGACATGACCCCACGTGCTGATGTCAGGGGTGGATGGTAGCTTCCACTCCATGGGAGACTTGAGCTTTTTACAAAGTGCCGTGGCAGCTGGTGAGAGCTGGCCTGGGGGAGAAGTCTTCTTGGTGGGAGTCTGGAGGGAGAACAGGGCCAGCGGGTGGGGAAGTATCCTCCCCTGGGGTCTGCCTTTGTTCCGAGGGTGGCACTGGTGTGGGGGGAGAGGGTGGGGTTTGGTGCTGAGGGTCCATTCCTGTAGATGGGTGCCTGGTGCCAGCACACACAACCCTCGCTTTCCGTGGCATGTGAGCTGGATACCAAACGGAGCAGCCCCCGGCAGTCCAAGGCTGCTTGGTGGTGGGAGGGGCTGGAAGGGTCGCCATCTCTGAGAGCTGCCCAGAGCCTCCTGTGGACATCTGAGGCCACTATGTGCCCCATCCTGCTCTGTGACAACAGAATTCCTGCTCGTCCACACCCATCCTCGGGGAAGTCCCCACACCATGGAGCCCTGAGGGGCCGGGCAAGGCACTTGGAGGGTCTCCAGAGGGTGGTTCTGCTGCCTAGTGTCTCTGTCTTGGCTGTGGTCAGTCCTGGTCACTGTGTGGGACGGAGCCATGGACACCCTTCTTGGGCTCTGTCCAGAGGTTGAAGGGGAGGTGTGACCCAGGCCTGCCTTCCCCCCACCAAGCTTCAGCCCGCAGTGTCTCCCCTGCCGTTGTGTGGTCTTGCTCTAAGAAGCCAGGGCCTCCCAGCACAACAAAGGCTCTGTCTGCTCCTCTCTCTTCTTTCTTCCACTGTTAGACTTGTGGGGAGCCTTCACCTCCTCCTGTGTGTATCCCCAGAGAGCCACATGTCCCAGACCCCCTGCCACAGGTCAGCCAGGACCGTGGCATGGCCCCATACGTGCCTCTTCCTCCTAACAGGCCCCAAGGAACACCCTTACTCTCTTGGCCCCAGTGGCATTGGACACCCTTTCTTAGCACTTTTTTCAAACATGCTGGTGGCAGGAGCCCAGGTCTGGGCTTGTCCAATGGCCCCGAGATCAAGAAAAACAGATGCTTTTGGAGCTGCTCTGCGGGCCACGATGTCTGTGGGCAGCACGCTCTTGTGTTTACAGACTACCCCGCGTGCCTGAGTGTTTTCTCCTTCACTCCTCTGCCATCCCAGATGGGACACACAGGGACAGCCTCAGACCTGTCCTCCTGCTGGCTTGGGCTCCCCAAGGACTCAGGCCCTGGCACTCCAATGCTCAAGAGCCACCCACCCCATGTTGGCTGCTTGGGGAGTCAGGCTGATGCTGTGGCCTCCAGCGGGGGGCCTCTGGTCAAGCCCTGGGCTTAGTTTCGGGCATTGGGGTACCTGTCTGGAGAAGCTGAGGTGGGACAGACTGTAGTTGTGGGGTTGCGTAATCCATCGGGGTCTGCCCAGGTGGCCCACTCAGGGGAACCTCAAACTGCCATGTGCGGGTGTCCCTGCCCTGGCCTCTCCGGTGGTGAGCTGGACCTCCAGGCGTGGGCCCCCAGCAGACAGCCCAGACCAGGCTGGCTGGCCTGACACACCCTGTCAGCTCTGGGTGAGGATGGAGCCTTGAGTCAGCTGCACTGCAGGGCTGCCCTTCCAGCTCCAGCTCTGGGACCCTGCCCTCCAGAGGAGTGGGTGGCTGTGAGTCATGGTAGTGTGAGGTGGCTGCCAGTGCCAAGGGGGTGGAGAGCTGGGTGGGTGGGGCAGCTGAACTGCAGTTTCAACTCTGGTCCTTGGGGCAGGGCCTTGGGAAGGCAGGAGTCTGAGAGGGGCAAAGATGTGTGCAGCGGCCCCAGGGTAGGGGGCCAGGGGAAGGGACGGAGCACCAGGTGACTTTTACAAAGTTTTCAGCAAATCCCTCTTGCTTTCTCCTTCCTGTCGTTTGGCCCCTTGAGACTGAGGAACAGGGTCTTGGGTTGGCGATTGATATTTCTGTGATTCCTTGTTGGACGGGCCCATTTCCATGTATGTGCTCCTGTCTTCTGTCATCTGATGAAATCCTTTACCTGTGGTGGTCAGCACAACAATGGCCTCCAAAGATGCCCTCACCCTAATCCCTGCAACCCACAGCTAGGCCCCCTCACATGGCAAAGTGGAATTAAAGTCGTAGAGTTAAAATTGCTGATAAGATGGGGAGACTGTCTGGATAATCTGGATCGTCTGCTGGCTCTGATGTCATCAGCGGTCTTTAAAAGTGGGAGAGGGGGGCGCCTGGGGGGCTCAGTCGTTGGGCGTCTGCCTTCGGCTCGGGTCATGGTCCCGGGGTCCTGGGATCGAGCCCCGCGTCGGGCTCCCCGCTCGGCGGGAAGCCTGCTTCTCCCTCTCCCATTCCCCCTGCTTGTGCTCCCTCTCTCGCTGTGTCTCTCTCTGTCAAATAAATAAAATCTTTGAAAAAAAAAAATAAAAGTGGGAGAGGGTTGCAGGAGAGAGAGAGCCAGGAGACGCAGCCTGAGAAGGACTCGGCCCGAAGCTGCCGGCTGTGAGGACTCTGGTTCCCCCCGGAGCCTCCAGAGGGAAGCTGCCCGGCCCACGCCTGGACCTCAGGCCAGTGTGAGTCTTGTGGGACTGAAGCCTGCAGAGCTGCGTGAAAGTAAACTTGGGTTGTTTGAAGCCAGTCTGTCGTTTGTTACAGCGGCTATGGGGGAAAATAGACTGTAGACCTTCTTCCCCGCGGGTCCCAGGCGCACCAGGTGCTCGAGGCTCCCCTAGAGTCGTGTGTAAGATGCTGTGTTACATGTCTACTTGCATTTTTAGAAAACAGGCTCCTGACTTTTATCAAAATCTCAAAGTCAGAAACATGACTCCAGGTGGGTGGAGAGTACGGGGCAGGTGTGGTTTCTCTGACTGATCTCTGGGGGAGCGTGCCCTTTCCCTACCCCTCCTGTCCCCCTGTCTTTCCCTCTGTCTCTGTCTGTCCCTCTGGGCCCCTCCCCTTGCCTCAGGTAGTTCTTCCTCTCGGTGACTCACCTGCTCCCTCCTGCCAGGAGCTGC